GGTGAACTTATATATTATTCCAGGATCATTTTCCAACATTCAAGATGATCTTTGCTCTCTCTAACCTTTTAACTTTCTGTCCTGAACTAACAAGTTGCCTCACAGATTTCAAGAACGATTTCATTTTCAAGCCCTTTTCACTGCTGTTTGGACTGTCATAGCTGAAACTCCTCTCACGTGCTTATGGGTTGAGTTGGATCTTTTCTAAATGATCTCTTTAACTCTAAGTTGAAATGATGATCCCACTTCCTGTTGTGACCTCCTGATCCAGTTTTCCTCTCTACTGTTCCCTCTTTTTAAAACTTATTCACTATTCCCTTGATAGTTCTTGAATAGACTTTGAAGATGGAAGCCAGAGTATGAATATTGGTACAATTACTGAAGGCCTGGATGAACTTTCCCATCTCACCATTACTCATTTCGGATAAAAGTGGGGCTGACACAAAACAATTTTAACATGTTCTTTTTCTAGCAGAATAACTCAAAGGGATTTTCAGTGATTCTTATAACAAGTGGTGTCAAGATGGCTAAACGTCTTATCTGAAAACCTGGAAAAAAAGAAACTCAATTAGTTTAGTGTTTTTTTAGATATTAAAAATTTTGTGGGATGTACAATTATCTCATGCTGTTACACGATTTGGACAATTTTGCTGTAACATCCGGTATATATATATATATATATATATATATATATATTGGCTCCCGAAATATCAATTTCAGTTGAGCTCTCTGGGGACGAGGTGTGGGTTGGTAAACAGTGACTATTATAGCTATATAGCGAGACTCTTCGCAGATGCGATTTGAGTCACTGTCGGTCACTGGGCGTGTTTGTAAAAATAAATACGCTAAAAAATTCACTTTCATCCCTACCGTGCTGGAACCACACTGATGAGCGGTGAAACAGCGAAACAGTCTGTCTGTGGATGACGTTATATATATATATATATATATATATATATGTGTGTGTGTGTGTGTGTCTGTGTGTCTGTGTGTATTTAGGCAGCAATCCTTCTTTCACGCACATTTCATTGAAAACGATAGACAAGGTGCTTTTATTTAGTTTTTTTTATACAATTTCTCATGAGATCTAATATTTTTTTTCTTTTCGGGTGATAAATTATATAAAAACTATTCTTTTCATCCGAGCGCTTTCGGCTATACATTTATCCATTTTTAAGGATTATATTTTAACTGTTAAAATAAGAAATAGTTTGTTGTATGCATGTTTTATAAAATGTTTTAATTTTTTTTGTTTCAAAACACGGTCAAGATATTATGTCCATGTTCAAAGTTAATATTATTAAGTGTTGTTTTTTTTTTGTTTTTATTAATAAGGCTTCCATTATTTTTAGCCTTTTTTTGCATGTAGATGGTGCTATTATATTAGTGATGTCGACAAGTATGTTCCGAATTGGGTCCGGTAGGTCTTCATGAATATTTAAATGAGATCTAATGAGCTATTGTCAGAAAGGTGTAGAGTGAGTTTGCGTGTCTCTCTCTCTCACACACACACACACACGTATATATATATATATATGTTGTAGTATATGATTCGCGCCAAGAAATACTAGCGGTTTGAATGGAATTTTATATTTTAGATACATAAGAATCCTTTGATAAAAGAGTACTTGTGGATTGACCTAGAAAGTATAGAATCGATCCTGAAAGGACGTCGGTGTGTTCACCAACGTAAGCAAGAAGTGAACACAGTTGAACCCAGGATATACGTACACATGATAACTGGATAAAGGTAGTTACATAAGCACCCGACCTGCGAGGGAGATGGCAAAATTCCGCGCGTCATCGAACGTTCCAAGACTCATCTGCTGATAACTGGATCTTAAAATCCGTTTAACTTTTAGATATGTTACCTTAGTGGATAAGAGCGTTGGTTGATTGATCCAGAGCCTTGCTCCAAAGAGTTGTGAGTTCAATATCTGGCCAGAGCAGAAAGAAGAAAATCTTGGAGAGACAAGTTAACAAGTGGAATTAACGAAAATCAAGACATATCAGGAACGACACTTAGAGTTAGAACAGTCTATCCCCGTGGACTAAATAAATGGTTCGGTTCTAAATTACAGATATCAATTGAAGAAAGACAGAGCGTACATCGATTGAAACGTTGTGAATATAGCAATAATCATGAGAACAACAGCGTAAATAGTATCCTTTTTTTTAATCATTCCAATCCTCAAGCAAAACGATAGGTAAGTTATTAATGAGAACGAAAGAAGCAGAGAAAACATTATTGACGAGAGAGGACAATAACAGAAGAGGATTTAAGGAGAAAAATGATAGCGATTGACGTTGTATTAAAAATATTCGTATGTTCAGTCCATGGTATCCTCAGTATCATTCTGTAGAACCACATTTCAGTGGCTTTATCTCTACGAATCAAAAGCTATTCAGAATCCTCCCTATTACCCGTGTAATATATACAAGCTTCTCCCTTAGTTTCCTTCGAACTTGTCTCATTGTATGTAGTGAACTCAGCGGCCAAAAGTCCGTACTACCTTAAGTTTGTGAGTACAGTTCACCCTCTCTGAAGTTGTGGGTAGTAACTCGCGTATTCTTCGCGAGACACATTTATTTATTTCGTCAATTGCATATAATACATTTAGTCGCAGTTTTCAGTTAACAGACTGCTGAGATAAAATATTTCTAGCGTTAAAAAGAATACGGTATGTTGCGTAGGTAGTGGAAAGGTATAAGTGAAATTAGCCATACAATGGCAGACAATACATGCAGACGACAACGGGAAACGCGGCAAAAGTGGAAACACTCAGAAAGCAAGATGTCCGTCAGAAGCTACTGGCAGCTTTCAATATGGCGGTTTATTTTTGGAACTTTCAGCTAGATTCTCGACAGAACAAGTTTCCTTTTCGCATTTTCTCGTTTTCTGAATTCCATTCCATTTTGCAGCAAATTGTATCGAATTGGTAAACAGAACATGCATATTCTTAGAAATATGTTTAATACTATTTTAGAAACAGTTTCAGTCAGTTCTTATAGAGCCCATATATATATATATATATATATATATATATATATATATATAAATAGTTTATGCAAAACTAGGTAATCCGTATGGGTAGACCCAAGGAAGATGATATCCGGATATATATATATATATATATATATATATATATATATATATATATATATATATATATATATATATATATATATATATATATGATCAGATCGTGATAGATGCATATAAATAAAGTAATGTATATGAATGTGTGTGTGTATTTAAATGTATGTATCTCAGTCTGTTCAATATGTATCTATATGATTTTCGATTATGTTTATCAATTTTATTCTTCATAATCTATCTATCTATCTATCTATCTATCTATCTATCTATCTATCTATCTATCTATGCCACTGTTCATATCTATCTATCTGTCTATCTTCATTAATTTTAGCCTTCATAAAATAAAGCAGAATTGTATGATATTCAATTACATAGTCACCATTATTTTTCAAAAACTTGTTGCCAATTATCATGAATATCGTCTGAATAAAATCCTGCAGGTTTTGATGTGAAAAAAGTTTTCGACGATCACTTGAATTTGTTTTTCATTAGAGAACGTTTTCCCCATCAACGCAATTTTGCATCCATTGAAAAAAAAATCTTATAATCTCTTGGCACAAGGCCAGATGAATATGGCAGATTCAGGCAAACTGTGTTCCGAGAGTTTTTCTTTTTTTTTTTTTTTTTTGTTCTTGCCGTAACCAGCCAACTATACTTTGTCTCTACGCGCCCCAACATGTTCATATCTATTTTCGAAGGAGAGATTTTGAAAGCAAAATTACAACCGAGTACTACTTTTGCTGGGTCCTTATTGAGAGGATGTATAAAGAGATGACAACACCAAATCGTTAATTTTATTCGTAGAGTTAATATCATTATATTGTCCATGTTTTATATGAGGCTGGAAGCCATCGTAAAATGAGTTGCAAGTGGGGAAAAAAACACAAAACGTTATAAAGCGTCCATTCTCTTTTCTTAAAATTTTGTCACATACGTTCAACGCATACAAAATCCCGAGTTGCTGTTTCTTTTCCAACAGTCTGATGGAATGGTTGCAACTACAATGCCGGATCGATGAATTCCGTGGATAATGTCTTGATACATCGATAGGTAATTAATTAAATATATAATTCGATTGATAGCGTGATAAATTGGTAATCTGATAAAGAGAATAATTAGTTGATAGATAAAAATTGTATTTCGGTAGGTAAAAGTTGCTGATGTCTTATGATTTTAAGAATAGTATAATAAACAGGCAGCGATAATTCAATGTGGACTGTTAGGAAGATGGGTTAATAATGAGACTGATAAGATCAATGGAGAAAGTTTAAAAAGGAAGAATAGATTCCTCCAATCCTGAAAAATGAATGCGATGAAAAGGTGGAAAAAAGGAAAGACATAGGAAAGAAAAAAAAGACTGGTTATGAGAGAAAAAGAAAGAGAGGTAGAAAGAGAAGAGAAAAGAAAGAGATAGAGAAAAAAAGAAAAGAGAAATAGAAATAATGTGGGAAAGAAAGAAAGATAAGGAGATAGAGGTGGGTAGAATGAGAGAAAGATAAGAGGTAGGGAGATAGAGAAGAAGTGAGAGAGAGAGAGAGAGAGTAAGTGAGAGCAAGGGAAAGAAAGAAAGAGGGAAAAATAAAAGGAGAGAAGAGAAAGAACAAAAAAGAACGGAAGAGAAAAAATTATTGATTGTTTTGAGTTTTACGGTCAATCACCCTTTTGTGGATTATTTAAAGCAGGAGGAATATTTAAAAAAAAAATTTTTGGAGATAATAATGATTTATTTATACAAGCCCTCCTAATTAACCCATAGCTGGTGAGGGAAGAAGTAGATTTACACATTTCCCATGGGTTTTTGCATATAAGTTAATATAACAAACCCATCTGGAATTGGAACTCGGCTCTCCGGTTAACAATTCCGAGCCGTTATCCATCTCACCACCTGCACATACAAGTT